ATTTTTTTCTTCTTTTATCTTAGCTTAATAATAAAGCTTGGAGTTTCATGAAGTAAACAATAAAATGAACTTGTTAACCACATATTTCAGTGAGGTCGACACGTTATATCTGAGAAGGATGATTTGTAAAGTTCCCTCAAAATTCAAGGATAATGCATGTAAAATATTTCATTTAGGAAGAACTTATAGCTTTTATCTCTAATTTGCTAATATTACTTGTTGGCATTTCAATCTGTAAAGGTTATCGAAACACAAAGTATGGCTCAGATGTTCATAGTAAATCAATTATCGTAAGTTCTCATCATTTTTATGTACCTAACAAAACTTCAATTTCCTATGTTGATAACAGTTGATATGATGAATCAAACACTAATTTCAAACAGTAGATATTCAGAAGAGATTTCCCAATGGTGCAGTAATATTACAAAAAAATTAATTGCAATTAATTAACACACTGTCAGAGTTTTTTGTGATCCCATCATTATCAGAATGTCTTTATTATGAACTGTGGAATCTATATATTCCTTTAGGCCATGTTGAATTTCTATTTATTAGGAGCGTAGGCCCTATGCTATTGTACATGCGACTTAATTCTATACCAGCAGTACGTGGGACTTAATTCTATGAGATGAATCTCTCTGTCAAAAAGTTGTGATTTACCTTTGTTATTTTATAATTATTATATTGGAACCGGAGATTATGTGTCCAGGGAAACTGTCGATATCGCTTCATCTAAATTCATCATGTCTTTCCCAAGCTGAACTTGTGACTTGCTAATTGATCATAAAAGACTTGGGACTGGACAATGAACAGTCCATTCTCTGAATGTCCTTCATAAGGTCTGCGGGTCAGTTTTCCTACATCTCCATTTAAATCAATATGACAATGCCCTGCATGTACAGCCATTAATCAAATAAGAAAATTTTACATAGCCTGCATTAATGGAATGCAGAAACAATAATTTCGGCTTGTTTTGTAGTGCGAATAAGTGGAATCTGTCTGTTTGCTAATGCATTATTGGTTTCAACCTGGGCTTCTAAGCATTGTTTAATTAAATTTTTTTCAGTACTTTATGCAATCTGCAGTCAATAATGGATGTACTTGAAGCTGTACTGAAAAGGTACTTATTGTGATGTGAAAATACCCAGTAATATCAGAGTTGTATATGGCACACGCTTTACGGGTTTGATGATTGTGTAGTTTGTTTTTGCGTATCAGATGATGGGTCCAGATAGTATCAGCAGAGAACGTCATGTTTATACGCTTAGTAGTCTCTTGTTCCATTAAGATAAAATTTGCTTGATGAAAAAATCAATTAGAAATATTAAAATACTCTGTTCATCAAAAGCCCTGTTATTCAAAGTATCATAATTAATTGTAGATAGTTCTTGGAAACTGATAGTTAATATTGATCCACAATGCACCAGTATCTAAATGGTGTAGTTCCTTTTCATTTCAGTTTTCAAGGAATTGTGGGAGGCAATGTTTCAAGGCAAAAAATGTTTGCATACTAAGTATATTGTTCATCTAATGGTGTACTATAGTCTAGTTCTTTTATTTTGTAATGTTGATGGCTTATGTTTGATTGATTTTAACAGAAATAGCAAGATAGTTTTTGCACTGCAAACTGACAACATTTTAAATTATTAACAAAGATATACAAATACACTTATTTCAAGTACAGTAAAATATATGCCTAGATTAGCAAAGTGCCAGGAAGGAATAGTTTTGATACATTATGAACAAAAGAAGATGGGTGAACAAGGCAGGCAAAGTGCCCATAGTGCAACAAACATGAAGTGAAAAATAAAATCTCAATTATATCAAAATTTTCTTTGATATTTCATCTAACATTAAAGTATATTTTATGTAAAATCTCAACAATTTACAAAAATCTCACAAAGACTGAAATTATTTGCCTATGAAATAGCATACACACACTAAAGAGGACAAAAAGGATCATTTTCTCACACTTTAACAAAATTTTTCGATATGAGTGGGTCTTCGCTCCATTTTTTTGAAAGTTAATCCTAAAAGTTTGCATAAAATTATACATTTTTTTGGTTTACAAAAACATGGAGCAAAGACCCACTATACCTTAAAACTACACTTTTATGACAAAGCATTCGCATCTTTCCGAGAAATACTTAAGTCCATTAAGTCAAGGGTCATTATCACAAACATGATTTAAATGCCACTATTCATCAGGAGCTGTGTAGCGTAGTGGTTAGCGTGTTAGTCTCAAAGCAATATGATACTTCGGATTTTTATTGTTAGGGGTTCTAATCCCATGAATACCATTTTGTTTTTTTAATAAAAGAATAATTTTTTCCGAGATCTTTTTTCTCAGAAAAGTTTTGTTGATCATAATTTCATAAATTTCAATAATGAGAACTTTACTTTGAATACTTAATTCACAAATTGAATATGATTTTTTTAATATTGGAAGCTATAGGCATTCTTCACGCCTTGTTCACCCATCTTCTTTGTTATAATCAAATAAGTTCATAATACTTTTTAAAACTACAGGGAATAAGAAACACTTCACTGTGAGCATGATTTCATCATAAGCACGATCACCATAACTATATTTTACTGTATTTATAATACGTATACAGCTGAACTTCAGTACCTGGAACACTGATATCTTGAATACCTTGGATATATTGAAGTGATTTGGAAGCCCCAATTAAGCACTTTTTGTTTAAGTAATTTTGCTCTCAATATATCAAACCCTCAATCAGGTAACTCCAAAGTTTTTCTTAGTCCCATCGAGTTAAAGATAATGAGGTTTGACTCTACTTCTTATTTGAATAAAAACAGTGATTAAGAAACAGGATTTAAAATTATTTCTTTAACTTATATAACTCTTGTTGAACATGAAGTTTAATCAGTTCCTGCAAAAACTTCTTTGACTTATACAGTTTCCTTTATTAGACTTAAGAAGAAGTCAATTGTTTAAAAAGTTTTTCCTCGCATATATTGATTTGAAGAATTCTCCATTTGTTGTGTTTGATGTATACATGTTTCCTTAGAGTCATAAGACTCATTGCTGTATATACCTTTGTGTATTTATCTCGGTATGTTTTTTGTCAGTGTAAGGAATGTTTTATCATGGATTGTATTGTTTTCAGTGCTCTCTGTTCATTCCTTTCTTGATCAGATAGGATAGATTTCCAGGTTGATTTTGCTGTTACAATTAATATCAGTTTCAATTAAACATTGTAATTACTGCATTGTTATTTGATTATTACAGTCACTGTGCATTTTCATTTCCTAAATTTGATCAGAGGTTAAGGTTTTTTCCCCAATTATCATTGAGTAAGAGCTTGTTAAGTTTAAAATTGTAAGCTTTGATTGGGTTCTTCATCTCTTCGTACTATTGCTTTGTTCCTTTATATTTACAAGTACAAATGAATAGTCCTTATTTGATTGCAGATATTAACTTGAAATTATGTATTATAATGGTCAAATGTCTGTATTGTTCTATACAGCATTGTGATGTTTTATCTGAGCAGCATTGTATGTTCTACTCTGAGTGGTGATATTTTATAAATATTGCACGTAGTTGAGTGTAACATTGAAAATTTTCACCCCTCGAAAACCATTGTCAACCTTGGCTGCACCGCGGTTGACAAAGGTATTTTGGGGGTGAAAATTTTTAATGTTACACTCAACTACATGCAATATTTATTATATTATACTGAATGTTTTATACGAATACATATAACAGTGAACCTTGCGCGCATAAATTCTGCGCAGTCACTATTTTTTGGAATATCACCCATTGTCAAGCAATGTTGACTGTTGCTATGCTGGAGGGCATGGCTTCATCATTCAGCAGGTAATAGTATTTTTTAACAAATGTTTCTCGACAAATCAGATTCAACTAATTTACATGAAAGAATAATATTGTGCATTGTTTGTTCTATCTTTAGCAGTGGTATCATTCTAATCTGAGCAGTGGTATCATGAGTTCATTCAGAGCAGTGGTATCATGTCTACATTGCCTGGTTCATTCAGAGCAGTGTTATCATGTCTACTTTGTCTGTTTCATTCAGAGCAGTGGTATCATGTCTACATTGCCTGGTTCATTCAGAGCAGTGGTATCATGTCTACATTGTCTGGTTCATTCAGAGCAGTGGTATCATGTCTACATTGCCTGGTTCATTCAGAGCAGTGTTATCATGTCTACGTTGTCTGGTTTATTCAGAGCAGTGGTATCATGTCTACATTGTCTGGTTCATTCAGAGCAGTGGTATCATGTCTACATTGCCTGGTTCATTCAGAGCAGTGTTATCATGTCTACGTTGTCTGGTTTATTCAGAGCAGTGGTATCATTTCAGATTGTCTGGTTCATTCAGAGCAGTGGTATCATGTCTACATTGCCTGGTTCATTCAGAGCAGTGTTATCATGTCTACGTTGTCTGGTTATTCAGAGCAGTGGTATCATTTCGGATTGTCTGGTTCATTCAGAGCAGTGGTATCATGTCTACATTGTCTGGTTCATTCAGAGCAGTGGTATCATGTCTACATTGCCTGGTTCATTCAGAGCAGTGTTATCATGTCTACGTTGTCTGGTTTATTCAGAGCAGTGGTATCATTTGGGATTGTCTGGTTCAATCAGAGCAGTGTTATCATGTCTACGTTGTCTGGTTTATTCAGAGCAGTGGTATCATTTGGGATTGTCTGGTTCATTCAGAGCAGTGGTATCATGTCTACATTGTCTGGTTCATTCAGAAGAGTGGTATTGGGATCATTCAGAGCAAATGTCTTTTCTTTTTCTGGGCAGTGGTATCATGTCTACATTGTGTATTTTATTCAGAGCTGTGGCATCAGGGTACTTCCTTTTTTTAGATTTAGCAGTGGCATGATATCTGCATTATTTGGTTCAGTTTCAGCAGTTGAATATTGTCTACATTGAATGCTCCAGTCACACCACTAATAAATTAATCTAAGGAGAGAGGATGATAATTTTTTATGCTCTTTAATTGTTTCAGCTTGAGCAGTGGGGAAGACCAATTAGAGAAGATGATAGAGTTGGAGAGGCTCCTTGCCCAAGCCCAGTCTGAGAAAATGAGGATAATTGCAGATCAGGTCTGACTTTAAGATTCATTGCAGATCCTAATTACATATTAGTACATACAAGTAATTTGTTTTCTTGTACATTAGAATTTAAGCTAGAAACGTAAAGGTAAGCATCAAAATTTTGACATTCTCCAAACCCCATTTTCTGAAAATGCATGTACAGCACTACACAGATATCCATATTCTTTGCTATGTTTTGTAAATAGAAATAAATGTACATACAAAAAGTAAGGAATTGGAACGTTGTGTTCTTTAAAATGCTGGAAACTATTGCACACATATGGATTTACTTTTTAAAAGATTTCCTTCCAATTTTTAGGTCACCTGAGTCACTCAGGCGACCTATTGCTATCTGTTTTTGTCGTTCGTCGTCAATCGGTCGTAAACTTTTGAACATATTTAGCTTCTTCTCTGGAACCACTGAACCAATTTCAACCAATTTTGGCATATAGCATCTATGGGTGAAGAGGAGTAAAAATTATGAAATTCATGGCCCCTGCCCCCCTGGGGCCTGAGGGGTGGGGCTAAAACCATCAAAATTAATGCAATCTTTAAAAATCTTCTTCTTTACTCCTGGACATCAAGCAGTCAAACTGTTGGCATGATTGTAATAAGCATTGAGCCCTCTACCAAAGTTCTGAAATTCATGGCCCCAGGGTCAGGGGTTCTGGTGCTAGGGCGGGGCTCTAATGATTATATAGTGAAAATGCATTAATTCTTTAAAAATCTTCTCCTCTGCTCCTGGGTATTAAGCCGATGAATTAAGTACATAGTTATGATGAGCAAGAGTGCCTCTCCCAAAATTGTGAATTTCATGGTCCCTGGGTCAGGGGTTCTGGTGTTAGGGCGGGGCTCTAATGAATATATAGTGAAAATGCATTAATTCTTTGAAAATTTTCTCCTCTGCTCCTGGGTATTAAACCGATGAATTAAGTACATAGTTATGAAGAGCAAGAGTGCCTCTTCCAAAATTGTGAATTTCATGGCCCCTGGGTCAGGGGTTCTGGTGTTAGGGCGGGGCTCTAATGAATATATAGTGAAAATGCATTAATTCTTTAAAAATCTTCTCCTCTGCTCCTGGGTATTAAGCTGATGAATTAAGTACATAGTTATGATGAGCAAGAGTGTCTCTTCCAAAATTGTGAATTTCATGGCCCCAGGGTCAGGGGTTCTGGTGTTAGGGCGGGGCTCTAATGATTATATAGTGAAAATGCATTAATTCTTTGAAAATCTTCTCCTCTGCTCCTGGGTATTAAGACAATGAAATAAGTACATAGTTATGATGAGCAAGAGTGTCTCTTCCGAAATTGTGAATTTCATGGCCCCTCTTGGTGAGGGGTTCCATGTTGGGGGGGGGGGGGCTTTTTTTCTATATACTGAAAATAAATTAATGCTTTGAAAATCTTCTCTGCTCCTGGGTATTGAGCTGATGAACTAAGTACATAGTTATGATGAGCAAGAGTGCCTCTTTCAAAATTGTGAATTTCATGGCCCCTTGATCAGGGGTTCCATGTTGGGGGGGGGGGGAATTATTTATTATATACTGAAAATAAATTAATGCTTTGAAAATCTTCTCCTCTGCCCCTTGGTATTAATTAAACAAACTAAATACATAGTTATGATGAGAAAGGATGCTTCTTCCAGAATTTTGAATTTCATGGCCCCTGGGTCAGGGGTTCTTGAGCTTGGGTGGGGTTCTATTGATTAATTAATAGCAAAATGCATTAATGCTTTGAAAAACTTCTCCTCTGCCCCTGAGTACTAAGCAAACAAGCTAAATGCAATAATATCAATGTAAATACATGTATTAAATTTAATTATAAGTAAATGTGCCTTTTCTTTGCTTGTGGGTATCTAGGAGGCAGAGTACACAATTGTGATGTGAAGCAAATGAGCGCAGCTATGTTAAGGCTTCCCGAAGCTTTAAATGCGCTCAAAACATAATATGTCATTGCAAGGTCGGTTTTGGTTTTAATTTATAAGTATTGAACTTTAGTACTTCAAATTTATATAGAGGGTTTCCTCGGCTATATAATAACACATTTGTTATGATATCACATGACTTTGTTGATCACGTGACGGTCATTTATAATTTTTTGAAGTGTTTCATATTAATCGCTTCGGCGCAGCTGATTAACACAATAATTATTAACATTTTGTTACATAAATAAACTTATCGTATCCTTGTGTATCCGAAATGTGCTTGGGAAAAGTCATAGAATTACTTAGATACAAAATATTTCCTGAGAAATTCAACTTACCTACAAATTTGAGGGTATTTTCCACACAATATCGTAATCTGTATTAAAACAAAGCCAACACACATTTTTCCCAAGCAAGATTCAGTTAGAGAACAACCTCTTCTTATAGATTTTAACAAAAATTCTCAGATTAATCCTCATTAATCACCTACGCCAGACTCTTTTATACACACAAAATAAAGTCTACCTCCAACCACGGGTGTAAAACAGAGTACATTTCAAAAGTATATTTTTCATAAGCATTTTGAACATGCTGAATTTCAATCAAGGGTAGGTAAGCTGTGTATTTTTAAAATATTCAGATATATAAGACTTAAAAAACCTTTAACGACCCGTGAATTTTGCAATAGTTATCAAGCATTTTACATGCAGTTTGAAATAAAGTGTAAAATTCATGACACTCTCCCCGTCATAACACCTCAAGTTTGCAGTGATTTGACGTCATTTTCCATTATGACGTCATATTTTGGTAGTTCAGAGATGTGAAGGCACAGAGTGCACTGTGATATTCTTCGGGAAGCCTTAACCTACCTGCGAGAGTTACTCCCCTTTGCTAAATATTGTTAATCAAGAAATCCTTGTATATAATTTAATTAACAGGTTATTTGATTGAATGAGAATACAAGAAAGAATGTTATATATATATAGAAACAAAATAAAATGAATGTTTGGTTTAAATGAGCAAAATATGCTCAAAGTCAGATTCTTGCCTGGAAAGCAGTATAAAAGATTGACATAAAGATTATTTATATATTTAGCAAAAGGCGTAATTGTACACAGTATGTATACTCTGTGGTGATCTAAGTTAGTGTCACTTGTAGAGGAGTTGTGGTTGACAGGAGACTGGATGTTGTTTTATACTTTATCAAAGTGAACAAAGAATCACAGAGAGCCAGAGTGACTTATTGTAATTAGTGACAAGTGGCAAATAACCACATTGTATATACCCAAGTCTGTGTGTACTGAATTGTAGCACTAGGCAAGTGACAAAAAATATCTGTATATATTGAATACCTTACACAATAGGCAAGTGTTCTTTGTATATTTTGCATTCATTATCATCCCTGTAAGACTTAAAAAATATGATGTGAGATTTGCCTTACTTACAGATAACATTTGTCGAGGTGAGCTTCGTAATCTTTGATTACCTATGTTTGAAATTCTTGGGCAATATTGCTTCGTCAATCAGTTAATTTTGTTTTATACTTCCATGGATCCTTTAGTGTTGTATTATACTCAGGTGACCGTTAAGGCCCTTGGGCCTCTTGTTAAAAATCATACTGTAAATTTTACATGTCCGTTACAAAAGCATTTTTAAATTTTCTTAAATGCAAGGTGTTGTAAAATACACACAGATCTGTGTCATTTTTACTGAAAAACAGCTCTCCAGGGCTGTGTTCAAGATGGTAGCTGCTAACCCAACAGTTCAATGGTTTTTGTTAGTTTCTTGTGTAATGAAAAGCGATAGCTAAGGAGGCCATCATGGATTTGGTACCTATCTAAATACACTGTATTTATGCTAACTTTCTTTACATAGCAGATAGGCTAGAATATCATTCAAGACCATAGCTCTATGTTGACGCTATGTAGTTGCTTTGATCTTGAACACACCCCAGAAAAGCAGAGGCCTTTTAAAATTAAAACTTTCATATTAATAAGAAAATCTTAAAAGCTAGAGACCACCACCTGGCTGCCCATAAAAGTTTTCTATCCAAGTTTTCTGTAACTCATTTACTGATTCAAGATTTCTCTGATGTTAGAAATGTTAAGTTTATTTTCATAAATGTCTTCTTTGTTGTACCATTGTAGGTTAAAACTAGAGAGACCGAAATGATGGCTCTCCAGGAGGAAAGACACAAGAGAGAGGAACTGGAGAGGAAACTTCAGGAGGAAACCCAGCTCCGGGAGGAACTGGTCCAACAGCAGATCAAACTACGAGATAAACAGGCTAAGCAGGTGGGGGATATAGATCAATTGTTCCCCCCAAAATTTCCCAGATACGAAAAACAAATGTCTTTTTAGAGTTTTAGGAGATAAAGCAAACAGTTTTCATAAAAAATTCAAAAAAGTTAAGTTTAAACAAAGTACTTGTACAGTCAAACCTCATTATCTTGAACTAGATGGAACTGATGAAAGACTAAGATATCCAAGAATTTCAAGATATCCAAGTTAAAAAGAACTAGATGGGACTTGCAACTCAATTTGACATATCTATGACATTGATGTTTTACATATGGAAGTACTTTACATGTATATACAGCTCAAGTAAACATATTTTGTTTTGTAGGCCCGACCCCTAACAAGATATCTACCAGTCAGAGGTAAAGAATTTGACCTTAAGAACCATATAGAGTCTGCAGGTCATCACCTTGATGACTGTCCTCACGTGGTAGTCACTTCCACAAGCTGCAGGGGGTGGCTACATAAAATGGGAAACAAATTCAAAACGTGGCATAGACGATGGTTTGTGTTTGACAGAAATAAGAGGTCTCTAATATACTATACAGACAAAAATGAGGCCAAACCAAGAGGGGGGATTTATTTCCAAGCTATAGAGGAAGTGTATGTTGACCATTTAAGAACAGTTAAAAGTCCAAATCATAAGTTAACTTTTTGTGTGAAAACTTGTGATAGAACCTATTATATGGTGGCCCCCACCCCTGAGGCCATGAGGATATGGATTGATGTGATATTCACTGGAGCAGAAGGATACCAGCAATTCTTATGATAGAGAACTAGCTTAATAATTGTTAATAAATACTGTGATTGGATTGGTAAAAATAAAGGGGGAAAGCTTTTCTTAGGAAGGAGAAAGATAAGTTTGAATGACGTGGACATGATTACACTAACAGAAATTTGCACTGTTGCAGAGTCCGACTAGATTGTGGATGAGAAGTTTTATTGTGGAACTTAGCTCTAGAAGAATTAGAAAGGGCATGTACCCCTGAAATAAGTGTAATACAAGTCTGTCATGGAATGTGTGATGACAAAGTGTTTGTCTAGGTAATTGATGACTGAGATCTGCAATGCTTAGGGTTGCTGCAGCACCGATAACTTCTTGAAGGAAACACTTAAATAGTTAGATTTTTGCCATGATATTCTCTGTCTTCACTATGTGCAAGATGGTGCAGAAAAGTACAGAATGAAAATGAACTTTGTTGTATTTTCACTATGGCATTGTTCCTATAAAGTTAAAATAATTTTGTTTTTGTATTCTACAGTTTACAAGGTCATTATGGTTAAAGTTTAGAGATTTTTTGCAGACTGATTAGTAAAAACATTTCTTGAATGTTTATTGATTCATGTATAAATATTAAGAACAGAAATCTAACTCTCCTGTAGGTAGCTATTTTTTTTAATCAGGTACTACATTTTATGTTTCTGATGTTAGTGATGAATTGCTATTTATATACATTTGCTGAAATGTACCTGAAGATGAACGAGATATTCTAGACATTTTTTCCACAGAAACCCATAGGTTAAATGTGTTTATAGTGCTATTTGTAATTATGAAAGTAATTGAATTTGTTCCTCATAAAACACCCTCCACAGTTCATTTGTCAAATATGAAGATTTAAAACAAGGCAGATTTAGAATCTATTGATAGGGAGATTATTCAAATCACAGAAGACCAATGTTGTATATTTAAAAAAAAAATCAATTTTTCATTTTTATATGGTACATCTTTATATCATTGGCCTCTCTCTCTCTCTTGATTGGTATATGTATGTTTTCTGTAGCACAGGCTTGCTCTTCCATCCATCTTGCCCAAAGTATTTGTTACCATAACAACAGTCAGGGTGATGTATGTTGCATGGTGTTTGTTACATGTATAATTGTTGTGGAATTGACATGGTCAAGATCTTTGTTACAATTTGCTGATATTTATGAATGAATGATACTATAATAAAACATAAAAATCTTAAACTCAGCATTGATTAATTTTTTATCTTGTATTGATTCAACATACTGAATTATTCCTTTGCAGACATTGCAGTGTATTTTTAATGCAATAATTGAAGTCCTAGAATAATTGAACCCTGTATTTTATAAAAATGTGTTGCAGGCAAAATGGTTTCAAAAAAATCTTTAAACTGTGTCTAAAAGAGGAAGTTTCTATGCTACTTCACTTTAATAATCAGTCATGTACAGCCTTTGGTGGAATGTACGTTTTGCTTGTCTTCTAAAAATCCCATTTTCCATCTCACTCACTTTTGTATAAATCGATACTTACACAACAAATATCAGTGTAGGAAGCTTCAGTATAAAAGTATTCTGACCTTGACCTTCCTCATGACCCTGACCTTCCATTTCCTGCTTCTGCATTAAACTCATTTTGTTGACCATTATAGGGACTAATTTGTAAACAGTGCCTAGGTATATTGGCAATGACATTCCAACCTTAAAGAATTCTTTGACCTTGACCTAGCATTTTCTTGTGCTGCATAAGTATTATCCTGTTATATGGAACGCAACCTTAAAGCAAAGTGAGTAGAAAGTCATCAAGGGTTTTAGAAAATGTCAAGGTTAGAAAATTTTGACAGTTTAATCATGCTATTGCCACTTCATGAGTATCAGAGTATGAAGTTTGATGAAAATAAGCTTGAAAGTTTCTTTTAATCTAAGGTAAATACAAAATGGGGAAATGAGAGATCATGGTCACATGAATGGTCAAGGTCAAAAACTTGTGAATTGTCTTTGCTAATGTTTTCTATATATGAAATTTGAAAAAAATATATTAAACTGTTTTTATCCCCCACCCCCCTTGCTTTGCACCTTTTGGAATGTTGGTCAATCAGTCAGTAGACCAAGTGTTGTCCACTAAATATCTTGAGAACCTTTTGCTTGACAGACATCAACTTTGTACACTGGTACCCCTGAAGAGTAGATGACCTCTACTGATTTTAAGGTCAAAGGTCAAACCACTCTAGACATAGGAAAATATCTTGAGAACTGTTAGCTGGACAGACATCAAACTTGGTATAATGGTAGTAAATGACATTATAGTAAAACACCATACAGTTAAGGTGCCAAATGGAAATATTGGCAAATTTTTTTAGATAGAAAATACATACTTTACAAGGATGGGCGATTCTTTTCAGGACTTTACTATTATCGGAGAAATGTAATGTGATTGAAAACTACATGTTGAGGACGATTAGATTTCTTATTTAGACTTGTCACATGATGTGGCAGTCACGTGATTTTAGCAAATATACCTGAAGTATTGAGGTCATCTATAAATTCTAATATTGCAAGGGCATAACCAAGTTAAAAATCTAAGTTTAATTTATAATTATTTTCATCACCCTATGTAGTTTGTAAAAAGTGCTACGAACCTATATAGATTCTACTATCTAACTGCTAAAATTACATTTGTTAGACCGTATGCTGAATATTTTACTGGTCAAGTACTTTAAATATAGACATAATTAATTCATTTGCAAGATTTCATCTGGTTAGCAGCACTTTTGAAATACCTTCATACTTGTTGAGTTTATGTGTAAAAGATTGTCATAATTCATTGAGGGTATGCCCTTGCAATACATATAAAATACATGGTTGCTGTCTTGAAATATAAGCCTTAGCGATATTTGGGCGAGGATAAGAAAACATGATAGAGGGCGAGGCTTGCCGAGCCCTCTATCACGTTTTCAACCCGATCCCAAATATCGCTTATATTTCAAGACAGTTTCCACGTATTTTGTTTATCCTGCAACATATTTTTACGTGACCTCCAAAATGAGCTATTTTCAATCGATTTAGGTACATCTCCTCTGCAGTTGAAACTAAGATGCCATGGCATAAACATTGCAATATTCATGACGTCACAATGCTTTTAGAACGTCGGAATACATCCACGAGGCTTTATTAGGGCATTGACTGAATAAAGCTTTGGTTTATTAGGTTACCTTTATTAGGTCAATGCAAGGGGTAGTTGCAGAATAAATCGATTTATTATCATGATTATGACCCTTCTATAGACGACTTTCACATTTTCAAAAGTTATTTCCCTTCGCGGGGTCAATCTAGGGTCAACTGGCGTAAGTCACTGTTTTCTCTCTGTAATGGGAGAGGAGAAAAATGCAGCGGACCAGACTGGGATTCGAACCCGGGCCCCCTGAATTCTCCATTCAGGTGCTCTACCAACTGAGCTATCTGGCCACCGGTGATCAAACCCGTCTGACCGCCATGTTCCTCCCTCCTTAAAGGTCTTCGGCCCCTGAAGACCCCAACCCAGGCTCTTCCCTGGCAGGTCTTTCACCTGTCACTTCCAGGGCATGACACAGCACCAAATGTAACGGGAGAGGAGAAAAATGCAGCGGACCAGACCGGGATTCGAACCCGGGCCCCCTGAATCTCCAGTCAGGTGCTCTACCAACTGAGCTATCTGGCCACCAGCGATCGAACCTGTCTGACCGCCACATTCCTCCCTCCTTAAAGGTCTTTGGCCCCCGAAGACACCAACCCAGGCTCTTCCCTGGCAGGTCTCTCACCTGTCACTTCCAGGGCATGGCACGGCACCAAATGTAATGGGAGAGGAGAAAAATGCAGCGGACCAAACCGGGATTTGATCGCCTGTGGCCAGATAGCTCAGTTGGTAGAGCACCTGACTGGCGATTCAGGGGCCCGGGTTCGAATCCCAGTCTGGTCCGCTACATTTTCCTCCTCTCCCGTTACATCTCTATAACATTACCAACTTTACGGGGGCAATGTTTTACACATGGAATCTGTTTGAATATGTTCATAATGATTTTTATGTTGCCCCATACTATGGCAATACAGGTACGAATCAAAATTGTCAGATGGCGTTTGAAGGTTGAAAATACTTAGAGGTAAGTTACAAAGGATGTAGTGAGAAAAATGAGCATTACGCCGACAACGGGAGATAACTGTTAAGAATGTGAAATTAGTCTATTACCCTTCAATGAATCTGCATACAAATATACGGCAGTATCGTTTGTCTAGGGAATGTACAGAAAGTATATGAATAAAATCATAAAATATACATCGCATCCAAGTTAATGGCCTTTTTTATACCTGCAATTAAATTTTATTTAATTACAAAATATATTTTTCATTGTATAAAATATAACTTTCCACCTCTCAATGCATACAAACTGCGTCAAATTTTCCGATATGACGTCACATTGACAAGTACATTGCGATCAGTGAATTGTTAATATATTGCTGTGAGGGATTTAACCAACGGCAAAAATACATGCAATAGTAAGTATTGATGTTGTTGAAAGATATCCAACAGTTTAAAATAGCAAATCATTTCATTTTGTGGTAATTTGAACTTGTATTTTTGTGTGATGTCATAGTAAGCATTTCCCGTATAAATTAGGCCCCGCCTCCTTATTGTAGCCTTAACTGTGCTGCGAAGACCTCTTGATTTTGAGGTCACAAGGTCAAACTGGATCTATTTACTGCTTAATATCTTGAGAACATTTTTGTTGACAGATAAAACTTGGTGAACTGGTACCCACAGGGGAGTAATTGACCACTAGATTTGAAGATCACAAGGTCAAGGGTCAAACTACTCTATTGTTCATTCAGTATCTTGAGAACCCTTTGCTTGACAGATGTCAAGCTTGGTACATTTGTTCCCCTAAAGGAACAATTGACCTGTATTGATTTTGAGATCACAAGTTTAAAGGTCAATGGTCAAGCTGGACATAGGAGGATACTGACCACTTAATATCTTGTGAATCTTTGCTTGACAGAATCAAACTTGGTACACTGGTCCCCCTTAAGGAGTAGATGACACCTATTAATTTTGAGGTCAAAAGGTCAAGGGTCAAACAGGACTAGGAAGATAGTGACCATTCAGTATCTTGAGAACCCCTTGCCTGACAAACTTATTAGTACACTGGTTTCCCTTCAGGAGTAGTTGACCACTGTAGATATTGAGGTCACAAAGTCAAAGGTCAAAGTACTTTAGACATAAGATATTGTCTAGAGAACACTTTGCTTGGCAGATATCTGGTACATAGGTTCCTTTGAGGAGTAGTTGACCCCTGTTGATTTTGAGGTCACAAGATCAAGGGTCAAACTGGACACAGGAAGATAATGAGAACTCGTTATCTTGAGAATCTTTTGCTCGGGACATCAAAACTTGGTACACTGGTTCCCCCTAGGGAGTAGCTGACCCCTATTGGTTTTGAAGTCACAAGGTCAAAAGATCAAGGGTCAATTAACATAGACACTAGACATAAGTAGATGTTGTCAGCTTAGTATCTTGAGAATCATTTACAGACATAAAAATTTGGTACACTGGTACCCTTGGAGATGTAAAATTACACCTAATGATACTGAGGTCTGATAGAGCTCAAACTTAGTATTATGTTTGCCCTCGACAAGTAGATGTTAATTACAGACATTCAAAATTTAATGTTGTTCCCTTTTTAGCTCTCCTAAGCTGAAGGCTTTTCTGATTGAAATTTGTCCAGTGTCTGTCGTTGTAAACTTTTCACATTTTCATTTTCTTCTCCAGAACCATTGGGCCAATTTCAACCAAACTTTACACAGAGTATCCTTAGGTAAAGGGAATCCAACTTTGTTCAAACGAAGGGGCACACCCTCCTCCAAGAGGAGATAATTAAGAAAAATTAAAAATTGGGTGGGGTCGTTTAAAAATCTTCTTTAAAGAACCACTGGGCCGGAAAAGATGAAATTTATGTGAAAGCTTCCTGGCAAAGTGTTGATTCAAATTTATTCAAATCATGACCCCTGGGTATAGGGTGTGGCCACTGTGGGTGATCAAAGTTTAACATGGGTATAAATAGGAAAAATCTTTTTTTCAAGAACAGCAAAGCCTGGATCAGTCATATTTATATGGAAGCATCCATAGGAGTGTTGATTCTAGTTTGTTCAAATCATGACCCCAGGGGGTAGGGTGTGGCCACTATGGGTGATCAAAGTTTTTACATGGGTTTATGTAGGAAAAATCTTTAAAAATCATCTTCTTGGGAACAACAAAGCCATGATCAGTCATATTTACATGGAAGCATCCTCACATAGTGTAGATTAAATTTTTTTTCAAATCATGACCCCAGGGGGTAGGGTGGATCCCAAAGGGAGATCAAAGTTCTACATAGGAATACATACTAAAAATCTTTTTCCCAGGAACACAAAAGCCATGATCAGTCATATTTATAAAATAAAAAAAAAAGCATCCTCGCAGGTAGTGTAAATTCAAGTTTATTCAAATCATGACCCCAGAGGATAGTGTGGAGTTACAATTGGTGATCAAGTTTTACATGAGAATATATAGGAAATAGGATCTTTTGATGAAGATCTAGAAGGCCACAGTATCTCAGGTGAGCAGTGTGGCCCATGGGCCTCTTGTTAATATTGCCACACTGGATGCATATATGTTTTTCAAATATTTCTTGTTTAAAACCGAATTAAATGCAAAGTGAGACTTAACAGATCAAAGGACAGAAAAATAGATGTGACAAACACTAGATGCCTCAGCCATATTTAGTACAGTGGGGGCATGAAAATGTTGAAAGTCTCTCCCAGCAAAGATTAAGGATATTGTACAATATCTAATCTTATTGATACTAATCTGAATGTAGAAAAGAAGACTAATTCTTTGACAAGTTTATTGAAAAACATTCTATTGCACCAGATTGGCATCACAAAACTCTAATACATAAGTAGAAACAACACAATTCACTGCTGAAAACATGGGTCTCTTTATAGCATTAGTTTTAATCTTTACACATTCTAGACTTAAACACTTTTGTATAACAGCCATACCAAACATCTACTGACGTAGATATTGATCAGACATAAGGAAAAGCTACATGGTTCAGATAGCATCTGGATGTATCAAGGCTATTTTTAAAAATACAAAATCCCAATAATTTGGCCAAAAAATCTAAAGGTAATACATTGAGCAAAAGTTCGAAGATTGACAAACAAGGTACAAACTCTGCACAAGATCTTTGATCTGTTTTACATACATTTGACATTGTACTTATCTTTCAAAGTCTTATTGGCTCTTTCTAATATGTACATATTTGTGTTTCATAAATTTTAATTATTTAGACATTTAATAGCATCAATGTGCCATTTGAAAATATTTTTCAATGACTTGAATAGAGAGGTTAAGTATTTTTCTCAATTTGTGCCCAGTATGTACACTAAAATAACACAGCTGTTTCATATTACTCAACAGTCTAAGCATTGATTAAAAATTAAAAAAAAAACAATTATATTGCACTTTCCCATTGAAACAAATAAATAAATAACAAAACAAAATAAACTGAGTGAAATGGCAAATTATTACATAACATTTTGTCTGAGTAACATGACTGATATAATGTAAGCTATACAATTTATTACAACTACTAGGGTAGGAGTTTATTTCATGTCCAAAGGGTCTCTTTACTTCCTTTTTTATCTTCAAAAATAAAAGAGTCAAACAGCTTTGAAGAACAGATGTGACGTGATGGGTAAGTTAAGAATTGATTCTAAATACCAAACAAAGGAAAATGACAATGTTGTCTTTTTTCTTCTGATATTTAAAAAAAAAATTGTAGAACAATATTTTCATCCTTGGACATCTTCAACTATTTTACATAATATATGTATATATACTGTAGTACATGTATATGACAAAATCAAAGTAAATATAAAATAAAGTTTATACACAAAAAGTAACTCAAACTATACATGATAAATAAACTGAAACTAAAACAAAACAAAATGTAAAAATATAAATAAAGTTTGGGAAATACAAATGAATGGTGGACTTGGCAGTGAATATGACTAGATTTTAGCAGGAACAACTGAGGTATAGCAAATACAAAGCAACAAAATCAAAATAAAATACCAGCAAATCAACGTACCTAAGGTCTTCAATTATAAATACAACAATGACTGGTCTACAAACATAGGGCAAAATGAAAATCAGACTGAGACAGCATCGGTACACTGTACATCATTAGGAAAAAAGTGATCAATTTCAAATTACACATTAATGAATGAAACTTTAATAAACATATATGTCCATATATTTAAGAATACATTTTAAATGATTTTAAGCAGTATATGACAATACATGTAACATATACAGATAGCATGGTCCAGCCATCCATAGATTGGTGCTTGTCATTTAAGAGACATGATATAACTATGATTTCATCATTTGTGACAAAATGTAATTTTTTGTTCTAATTTTTAATTCAACCTTTAATATTATAGTAATTCAACAATACTGCTACAGGGTACTAGTAGTGTTTTGAAAACCTTATGTACATCTTTGAATTATTTACATTCATGTATAATAAGAGGACCCTGGATATTTTAATGCTGTATATTTCAGCTTGATTGTTTTGTTTTCTTTTTGCGCAGACACAGTAAAATTTTTCTAATCTGGATACGACTCATTCCAAAGAATCTGATTGGACAACACTCCAGATCAGACAACATTTCTAATAATTGAATTTACCGACAGGGACTAAAAGTTATCATAATGGGCAAGATTACGGAATACACAACATCCAGATTAGACAAGTTTTACTGTATTATTATACACTACAATAACTTCATAAAAATATCACCTTGTTTTACTTTTTTATCAATTTTGGCATGTATAAAAAGACTTGTTGATTAAGGAGAACATAAGGGTAATAGCTACTCTTTACATCATATGTATAGTTATAATAATGTTAGTTCAAGACAACTTCTTCACAATAGAATACTTCTATGTAAGCTCAATCACAATGGATTTCTTGAAGAAAAATGCACAAGAAAATAAGAAACATACAAACCAGAAAACTAAAGGGACTTGTTTGTGTTTGGAACAACTTCTGAATACTGTATAACTACCAAAGTAGTGCAATTAATCTTAATAAAGCACATGGATTTATGATTTTTACAATGGTAAACATTGTGGTGTATTTCTCTCCATTCTTTCCCCGAGATGTTTGTTTTGGATTATCACAACTTGAAGGTTTTGGTGTTATTCTGCGCCATTGTGGAAAACTGCTGCACATTCTCTGCATAGGAGAACTTTCACTGTCTGTGACTGCAGTCACAACGTGGGCACACAAGAATCAGTCACAAATTCACAGCCTTACTTCTCTATCTTTTGAAAAACTCCCTGAAAATTCTTCAGTCTTTGAAGGCAGTAAAATACATGTATTTTTGGTCATGTGACTCAATACTTAACCAAGCATAGCACCTCAAAATGTCTTGGCATATCTTTCACACCCGTAAAACCTCACACCTCAGTCAACAATACTGAGTGATTTGCCAAGCAGATACCATACAAATTGATAAATAAGCATATGATATTGCTTTATATTAGCTGATATGCTTTAAATCTTTGAGAAATTGTATGGTGATCATTTTGATGGGTAAAGCATTTGACTTCTGTATCTTGTAACACTTCACTATTAAATGATTGAAGCTCATGAAGTGACATTAATGAATTATGTAGTGCAATAATTATGTAAAGCATCTCATGCCTGCTGAGATGACAATGGAGCTGTCATAGAGTGTCCATTACACCAGCGTGTAGTCCTCCCGGTAACCCCTGTCTCGTGATTTCTTCTGTCCCTTATTCTCCCCCTCCTCTGCCTCTACTGGACGGTAATGTCTAACAATGTAAGAAATACTTCATATTTAAACCTCAGGAACTATTTTTTCAATAAAATTATTCCTGCTTCGATCAATCATGGTATTTAAATGTTATTTATAAACACTTTTCCAAAATAAGTATTTTGAGATGTGATTGTTATATTCTAGGACAAATTAATAACTAAGCCTTCAAGTGAATTACATTCCCTCAAAATCTTTGGAATTTAGATGGAAGAACAAATTTAAACCAAAAACATGAGACCCATGGGCCACATCACACTAGAATCAACACCACAACATACAGGTCTACATGTTCACATGACTATGAACACTAGGTAAATAGTGCATGCTTTTGGGGGTAACAGTTGAAATTGACACCCCAAGGAAAACCATTGTCAACCGACACGTCAGCTTTACGTCAGCGTCAACTGTTACCCTAAAAAACATGCACTATATATTTTATTATACTGATTGTTTAATTGATTTAAGATGTCAGCAAAAAAAATTTGGAGATCGTCCTGAAGTCACGTTTAGAAAGCTTTCAAACTTCTGTTTTTCTCAAAGAGAAAGCTTCGAAAAAGATTTCCGACCTCTATATTGTTTATTTGATACTCAGAGACCTTTATCATCTAAAGTTTTGTTATTTCTGCACTCACAAGCATTTTTCGTCTGTTGTTTTTTGTTTTCAATCAAGCTACATTGGGCTCAAGCTTTAATTGACGTCAAGTTTATTCGGTTTCTTTCAAATGCACAACTGACGTTTGAGAATTCTACAGCGAACTGTTCGTGCATAATTTACCCGCAAGTGATATTTTCGTTGTGTTACCCGTTGTCAAGTGTGTTGCTAATGCTCAGGGTAACATTACAAATTGTTAAATGCGTCTAAACCAATCAGATTTTAGTATTTAACATGAAAGCATAATAATACAGGATACTGACCTGTTAAGAAGACTGACAGCTGCAGAATCCTCCTCCTCCTCATTAGGACTGGACATTGAAGGCTGAGCCACCGCCATCACTAGGGGGCGACTCTCGTCTGTCCCAGGGGTCTGTAGGGACAGATCATACTTCACTTTGGCATGAGGGGTTCTTCTCCCTAGAAAGAATGTTTTTGTTTAAATTCACGGCAAAAATTGTTACAATTAGCTTATAGGCATGCTTACTCAGACATATTTGTATACTATGCTTTACTGTACAGTAAAACACACTTACAGAGAACACGCTTATAATGAATTGATGTTTACAGCAAAGTAATTTTCATTCCTGTGGCTTCAAAACTTGTTGTGAACTTAACCTATATAACATATTACATTTATAACCAAGCAAAATCGTCCATCTCTGGCACTTTGTTATAAGTGTGTCTTACTGTATCTCCTCCACACAATTCTCCTTGTGCTTACCTCTTCTGTTACATACAAGCTGTGCTTACCTCGTCTCATTGGAGGTCTGTCTGACTCTGGGAACTGACTGTCCGGCATGTAGGACATGTAGCCCTCTGGGGGACTATGAGGGGACTGGCGTCCAGAAAAGGTGTAGGTAACCTCCTCACTGCTTGTTGTGCTTGTTCGACTATGTGTCCTGTAACCAAGGGATGTAACTACAGAGCTCCATTGTTTTGTAAAACTTAGGCATACATACAGTTTTAGAAGAGGGAAGCTCTTTAAGACTTGGGGGAAAAAAATCAGATTTCTTAATATTTTAACTCATGATTCCAATCAAGATTTTAATTTCATTTTATTATACCTCTATTAAGAATACTGAAATTTGATTGGCTTGTTAGAAGGCTTTTAAACTCAATAATGACTCCAAAAAGTACCATTTACAGTAATAATGAGGCCAGGTAAAATTAATCTTTAGATTCTCATCCCCGCCCGCCCCTCTCAAAGTGCCCCGCCCCGTTGTTTTTTATTTTGCTTTTTGGGTGCCAAACGTATTATTTTCATGCATTTTTATTCAGCAAGAATCTGGGTCAAAATTTAAGAGTTATCTCCCGTCTGTATTAAAAGTCGCGTGGCGCTATTTATAGCAAAAAAACTACGTGAAGAATGGAGAAAAATCGGCAATAAAAGCAGTTTAAATATGTAAGGAAAAGATAATTTGTTAGTAAAGAGAAGGCAGAAAAGCAAAAATAACATATAAACACATCTAAATACCATCACTGGCATGGGCAAGTTTTTAAAGAGATTTTAATCAAGTAAAAACAGACGAAGAAAATACACATGGTCAAGTTTTAAATAACGATCTCTAGATGTATGTGATTTTGCATTAAAAAAATAAAACATCGTCCAAAGACTTTAGAGAATAATAGTGCTAAGGAAATGTTAAATCTTAAAACTGTTCAGGCCTAGGCTTTTCAGTAGAATATTTTACAGATTTACACAATCCTGTTTTGCAAATATGATGTATTTTAATGTCGAACATGTCAAGTCTCAAGAACGATTGAATTATCAGGATAGTGTAAATCTGTGATATCTGTATATCACACAGAACAGGAGTTGTTGGTAAAACTATAAGGTATTTGGGAAAAGGCCGATGAGAAAACATGCATATGCAATTTATTAGGATCAGCACCTCATTTTGTTTGGCGTGTGCCGTATCCGTGTACTTGATAATTTGTTAATAAAACTAACGTTATATATATTTTTAATTTTCTATAACAAGAATCTTCTGTAGATATTTAAAAGAATATGAAAACAATAAAATCTATTCATATTGGCATTAACATACTGTAAAATTTACGTGTACGAATGTTTTGTTGATACTTTCAATTAAAAAATAAAAAATAAAATCCGCCCACCCGCCCCAATTTTTAAGCAAATTAGGATGAGAATCTAAATTTTAAATTTATATGGCCTGACCTAGGAATCATTGCACGTGGGGTATAATGACCCAGTCATTATAAATAATGACTGCTTAAAATGACCTGTTAATCTAAACTCCATTCAAATTTAAAAATTAATGCATACAGTAATGACTGTTCATTACAAAAAATGCCGTTATAAAAATATGTATAGTCTTTTTATGATACGGAATATGGCTGTTCTTTAGATGCGTCATAAAATTGATCATTTTCATTGAAACTTTCATTACAATGTCAAATTCAACGAATGCAGACTTGGCTCTTCTGTACAGTAAAAGTCTGCACCAGATTGTCATTGTACTCGGAAATGGTATTTGTGAATTTATAAAAGTGCATGTTACTGACAATCACAGAGTGTTTTAATAAATTGGCGGTGCAAAAACTTCAAGACTTGCAGGCAAAAAGTAAACAACTTCACTAGCGAATCCCGATCCCGATGAAACACTGATAATAACAGATCGTAGGTCTAATACGCAATTGATTATATTACTAATTAAGCCTACAAAAATTGTCTTAACTTATTTTGGTATAATAAAACAATTGATTACCCCTTATGAGTTCAACATGGCTAAATAAGGACCCTCGACCTGGCCCACTTGCTGACCTGACCTGACCTCGGCCGCTACGCGGCCTCGGTCAGGTCGGGTCACCTCGTGGGCCAGGTCTCGGGTCCTTATTTCACCATGTTGACCTCATAAGGGGTAATTAATTGTATAATAAATCAAAAATGGGTTTATGATGGTGCTAAAATAGAACTTGTAGAGTTCTTAACATTGGTTGTAACACATGTATCAGATACCAGAACATCATATTTTTATTTCGTTACCTTGGAACATAGCTTGGCACAACTTGTCTCTTTGCCAACTGTCCCCTCTGTTTATTTCGACGACCTTTGATTCTGCGAGGCTGCGTAGGCCTCTCATTTGTTTCACACTCCGTGGTGTCACTCTCAGCCTCTTTACGAGATCTCTTGATGGATGGCTTCAGATCACCTTATAATAGTTTAAAGGGCATTAATAGATCTGTTTTTATAATAAATTCCACTTTATTACCTACCACATCGAGCATTTTACACAATTATTGATTTACATTTCACGATTTTGAAAGCAGAATTTAACAAATTAACAATCTTAGTCACCTTACAAAATTGAGCCAATCAGGAAAGCAGAATTATATTTCTGAATCTAAATCTTACTTGTATAATGTACTTCACATGAAGCCTCCCTCTGTTCATTTGGTTTGGGAGGTGACTGTGTGAACTTAACAATACCAGGCTCTGTGCCCACTGAGCTGTCTGTGGGTTGTGAACTTGAGTCTGGTGGGGACTCATACACCACAGGGGGGAGGGGGTTGTGCTTAGCATTTTCCAGGGCCTCCAGAAGCTCGTCTCTACTGGAGGAGACAGTTGTCACACTGGATATAATGCTCTGCCTCTGGCTTCCTGTAATAACAATCCATCAAAACATCATCCATGTAAGTAATGAGTTGTCAGAATCATTATACAGTAAAATACAGACTTGATTTAGGGTTATTCCAAGTTAAAATTATCTAAAGGGGGTAGAATTCAATGATTTTTACTACCCTCATTTATAGAAAAGGGGCTCTGGAGATAAAGAACAAGAGGCCCATGGGCCACAGCGCTCACCTGAGTAACTTTGGCCTTGCTGTTTTTCACCTGATTTCTCTCCCCCCCCCCCCCTCATAGTACTTATTGTGGTCCCCCCTACCCCCGAGGGTCATGATTTGAACAATTTAGAATCTACACTACCCAAGAATGTTTCCACATTAGTTTCAGCTTTTCTGGCCCAGTGGTTCTTGAGAAGAAGATTTTTACTACATATTTCAATGTAAAACTTGGATTCCCTATTGTGGCCCCTTCCTACCCCCGGGGGTCATGATTTGAACAATTTAAAATCTACACTACCCCAGGATGCTTTCAAATAAGTTTCAGCTTTTCTGGCCTAGTGGTTCTTGAGAAGAAGATTTTTAAATATTTTTACTATATATTTCAATGTAAAACTTGGATTCCTTATTGTGGCCCCATCCTACCCCCGGGGGTCATGATTTGAACGATTTAGAATCTACACTACCCAAGGAAACTTCCAAATAAGTTTCAGCCTTTCTGGCCCAGTGGTTCTTGAGAAGAAGATTTTTAAAGATTTTTACTACATATTTCTATGTAAAACTTGGATTCCCTATTGTGGCCCCGCCCTAACCCCGGGGGTCATGATTTGAACAATTTAGAATCTACACTACCTCAGGATGCTTCCACATAAGTTTCAGCTTCTCTGGCCCAGTGGTTCTTGAGAAGAAGATTTTTAAGGATTTTTACTATATATTTCAATGTAAAACTTGAATTCCTTATTGTGGCCCCACCCTACCCCTGGGGGTCATGATTTGAACAATTTAAAATCTACACTACCCAAGGATGTTTCCACATAAGTTTCAGTTTCCCTGGCCCAGTGGTTCTTGAGAAGAAGACTTTTAAAGATTTTTACTACATATTTCTATGTAAAACTTGGATTCCTTATTGTGACCCCGCCTTAACCCCGGGGGTCATGATTTGAACAATTGAGAATCTAAACTACCCTAGGATGCTTCCACATAAGTTTCAGCTTCTCTGGCCCAGTGGTTCTTGAGAAGAAGATTTTTAAAGATTTTTACTACATATTTCTATGTAAAACTTGGATTCCCTATTGTGGCCCCGCCCTAACCCCGGGGGTCATGATTTGAACAATTTAGAATCTACACTACCCCAGGATGCTTCCACATAAGTTTCAGCTTTTTTGGCCCAGTGGTTCTTGAGAAGAAGATTTTTTAATGACCCCACCCAACTTTTGTATTTTCTTGATTATCTCCCCTTTGAACAGGACTTGGCCCTTCATTTTAACAATTTAAACTCCCCTTTACCCAAGGATGCTTTGTACCAAGTTTGGTTAAAATTGGCCCAGTGGTTCTTGAGAAGAAGTCGAAAATGTGAAAAGTTTACAGACGGACGGACAGACGGACGGACAGACAGACGGACAGACGGACGGACGACGGACAACGGGTGATCAGAAAAGCTCACTTGAGCTTTCAGCTCAGGTGAGCTAAAAAGGTGAATACATTGACCAGAAATTATCTTAAACTCAGCTGCAAGAACAAGTTGGGCACCAGAAAGGACAAGTAAATCAGTAATATACAGTGTATAATCAGTATTAATGTAACTTCTAACCTTTCTCATCTGAGCTTCCGTGGGAATGGGAGGGGCACTTCTGGGACTTGCTGTAGGAGCTGTGAGGACGAGCTGGAGCCTGGGTGAAAAGAGCATGAATCTGGTCTGCACTGGCATACTTCCTAGGACTCAGAATCAGACCTGGGCAAAGTTTCAACAATCTTTATATGGGTTTTGATACCCAAAAAGATGAATATCTAATGGCACTTCTTTTTTAATTCTAATAACATTTTTTTCTTTTCTGTATTTTAAGGGATCAAAGAAAGGACAGGGTAAAAAACCTAGATTAAAAAAATCTAAATCATCCTTTACCTTGGTTGTCATATCCCTCTGTTGTCTTCAATGGAATCAGAGGAGGGTGAGGATCCTTCGCTACATCTCCATTGTCTCCCTTGGCATGAAAGAAAGGCACATACGGCTCTGATGGGGAGAGTATCTGTATAAATATACATGAAATTTATTTTTAAGACACAACATATACAAATTAAAGAAAAAGGTACAAGAACAACTCTCTTTAAGTAGAGAAGATATCATTATATATTAAAAATGTACATATATATAAAAAGTAATGTAATGCTGTGTATTTAAGAGGCAGTCCACCGAAAAACCAGACAATGGGTGGCACATCGCATGTCATGGATTTTAATTATTTTTTGCATGTAGACTTATTAAAGCAAGTGTTTACACATGACAACATTAAAAAAAATTTTAGTGCTCCTCTAGTCCTATTTTTGGTAAATGCTTAATTTTAAGTGCAAAAAGGTCAACATAAGGGTAAAAAAAATTACTACGTTTTTATTTTGTTTTATATGTAACAGATACTCAAAAGCTGGATGCGTCGATGAATATTATTTATAGCATAGACTCTTATCTTTCATTTTATTAATGAATAAGACTCCAATTTATACTTCTTTAGAAAAAATTATATGGTCCAAATTTGAGTTAAGCAAGTAACTTTTTGAATTCAGTATCCAATTTTCATTACGTTATAAAACTCAATACATTACAAGGACAGGTTTTTTTTCTTAAGTTATTATGAATACAAAGTACAAACTTTTGAATCACTCAATAAAATCAGTGGGAACAGGTATATTGAAAGAAATAAAAGGAGTCAAATTTACCTTCTTTTTTTTTTTTAATAATTTTCCCAAATGAAACCGATCCCGACCAGAATTATATAAAGAAAAAAAAATACTATAATTGTAATGTTAAATTTGGCCCTTTTGTTGTAATATGAGTAAATACTTACTTGATTTATTTTTTTAACATGTTATATAGGTGGCAGGTGCCTTTAGTTTGATAAATTTGTTAATTTTGCATTATTTTCGATCGGATCGGGATCGGTTTTTACTGTAAATTTAGAAACATTTCCTAAATTTGGCTCTTCATTTTAATTTATCAGAAAAATATGCTTGTCTTTTATTTCTTTTCAGTCGGTTAACTGTTTTTAAATGAGTGTAACCATAGATTCAAATTTATATATTATTTAAATTACTAATGTCTTTTACATACATGAAGATAACATGTAAAACATCTGATTGAATTCTTAATAGATACTCGGTATTTAAAAAAAAGTATTTGTACATGCATTATGCAACAAATGAGAGCAGACAGCTTTCTAGCTTTATTATTTATCTTATTTCCAAGTAAAATTTCTTTTTTATTTCCTCAGGAATTAAAGAGTAAATTCTATCAGTGGCGAAATTAAACTTGCCTAAATACAGGAAATATTTTTATGTGTACAGTCTCGACTTTATCCAAGTTTTTTCTTACCTGTCATCTGTAAAGCCTTTTCCTCTTTTACAAAATTTGATCTTATATAAATAAGAAAATAAGTTCTTTCATATATAGTATCATTATTCAAGCGCCGATAAACCGCAAGCAAAAAGCAGGGGGGGGGGGGGTGTCATGACATCATTATTTTTAAAAATTGGTTTCATGAACGTGAAAACATTTTAGAATTGGCCAACATAGTCACATGTTTAAACTCCATATTAAATGTGAGTGTGTGATTGTTTCAATCGCCAAATTAAAAAAATAAGTAAAATTAAAAAAACGAAATGTTTCACTAAACCATCTTCCGTTTTAGTGCCAAATTATAGTGGGGAGTTCAGCAGTAGTTTAACCCAATAAATATATTTTTATAACTTATTTTTCAGGTTTTTTTTTCATTTTTAATAGTACTTCGGATTGTTTATTTTAATTTGACTGCATAGATAAATATATTTAAGTTTTTACAAATATCATGAAGTAAACATCTCAACTTCGTTGAATTAAGTGTTGCGTAAATCTAAAACATTCATCATTGATTCCCAATTTTATAAGAAATGTTCATGATAAACACTTCATTAATTATTTTTACGCATATCCTAGTAAATCAGTTAAAAAAAATTAGTTCTCAGACATGTATAAAATTACTTATCAAAACGTCATCTAGCTGAGACGCCGCCCGTGTATAAAATACATTTTGATATTAAAATATTATTTAACATTTAGAATAATGCACTCTGAAGAGTAATTAAACAGAAAAAGAGAAATCATTTTTTTAAAAATCTTTTTCTTTACACTTTTACGCAAAGAATTTACAAACTTCTCTGGAAACTTGAATCTATTTCATTGTGACGCAATATTATTCAGGTATATGACGTCACTGATACATCAATGGAAACGTGGATTCAACCTGAATAATAGAGCCAATTTTAATCTAAATATTACGTCTGGAGGCGAAAATGAATTATATTTTGAAAATAAATTATTTAGTTTTTTGCTTAATTATTTTCTTTAGTGTATCGATTCTAAATATTTCACTAGGATTCCGATAAAAAGGTGTTGAGCAGATTTACCGATGCCACGGGAGATAACTCTTGCATCGCAAAATTTCATAAAAACGTCCTTATATTTTGCCAGAAAACTACTATCAAAAGTGTTTTTCCCACCGATTTTATTTTTTAAACAAAAAGTTGAAATATTTCTAGATTTAGTTAAGTGTGAATTATAGTCCTGTTAAAAATGTATTAGAAATTACAGTTCTTTGTTTCTGACCTACATTCAATGGTTTACATAGGGGCCTTCAAAAACACAAAACACAAGGATATTTTACTAAATAAGCAATTATCAAACAAATCTTCAATTACATTATTCCTTTTGGGCTACATTGATATTGTTTTTAATAAAATATCAAATATTCCTCACATTCGATGTGCCGCCTATTAATATAATACTGCCTGGTTTTTCGGTGGACTGCCTCTTAATATGTAAAACTTACTTTAAGGAATTATATTTTATTTTTTGCCATAGTCATGAAGTCAATATGTCCAAGAAAGATTACCCATCAGCTACTGAAATACTGCCAGAAAAGAGTACATATACTGAATAAATAACACAATCTGCCATGACAACTCACTGCTTTCTGGGCCTCTAGTTTCTGTAGACTGATGTCGTCAAACTCGGGTGATTTCTCCCGTTCTGGAGGCTGCTGTTCTTTCTCCATCATCACCTGTTTCACCTGGTTAAATGTAGCGTAGGGGTTGATGTTTCCATCATCATCTGTAAGAAGAAGTTCATATTTTATTTGCTTTATTTAGTAAAGTTAATGAGAGTTTTACAAGTATGCTTGTGTCATTCAGCTTTGAGGATTTCAAATTAAAATTCTATTGATATTCATAAAATAGATATCATAAATTCTCCCTGAACAGAAAATGAATGAGATAATCTCTAACAGGAAACTACTGTGAGCCAACTATTTTGCATATGCAAGAAATGTTCCCAAGATTCTGTACACCTAATTGTCACTGTGAACCAATGTGTGACATTAACAAAATACTGTAAAATCACTTATTTTTGTGGGGTAAAACTTTTGTGGTTTGACGAAAAATTATTGGTTCAAGGGGATTTTATTTCATGGCTGAAGAAGTGTTGAGTTGTTATATATAAGAAGTTTTACATTTTGTGGTGGACATGAATTTGTGGCTCTCTTCATACCTCAAACACAATGAAAATTAACACCCCCACAAAAATTAGTGATTTCACAGTAAGAAAGCTAAATTGTGAATATTGCTGGTCAAAAACTGGTTTTTCAATTGAATAAAATGAAGCTATTAATTATTTCTTACAGTAATATAGAGTTACCTGATCTGTTGATGGAGCCATTATCACTATTAGTTTTACTGGATCCATTGTTCAGCCATGTGGGACTGTTGTTATGGAGATTTTCATCCGAATTAAAGGAAATCAGGAGGTTAACATTTCTCTTGCCATAAGGTTCGCTGTTCCCTCCTTCAAAGTCAAAGTTGAAACGTTTGTCAAGGTCATTCATCAGGGAAGTTTCTGCTGTTATGTCTCTCCTCAAGTTTGAAGCGCTCTCTGGAAAAATCATACATGTGGAAAATAGAAATAAATTTCAACGTTTCTCCTTCATCTTTCACCCTTCTTGGTTTACAAGTATAATTATTATGTATACAGGGTTCGACACTAACATTTTTAAACTTTAGTCCGGCCAGACTAGTGCTTCTTTACTTTTACTAGTCCGCACGCAATTTTATGAGTCCGTCAAAAAAGGAAACGTAAATGTATTGTAACGATTCATTTAAAAATAAACATTACAATGTACTTTTTATACTTTTTTTAAATAAAGGAAGTATTTATTTACGTGAAGTGTTTTATTCCACAGATTTGTTGAAATCTTCATATCAAAAAGTACAATTGTATTCCCGATCTCATTCTTCATCTCTATACATCCAAAACCTCTGACATCTTTCTTTTATGTTTCATATTAAATCATGATTGCTGAAACCTTTAACTTCATATTAACCAGTCATAAAATTAAGCGCTGAATTGACTCGGAATACCTACCTAACTACCCGCCAAGAAGCTAGAAAGCTAAAAAATAGACACGCGGGGTTTTTTCAGTAAAATTTGTAGAGAATCAACCATTGGTAATTTATTCATTTTCTTTTCCAGAAATTTTTATTGGTCTGTTCGACTAATTAGCCACAGATTTTCTATTGAAAATGTATTAGTCTGAGACTAACGTCTTAACATTAGTGTCGAATCCTGTGTATATCTTTAAAAATGAACATCAGTGGGAGTAGACGAAACTTATCACACATGCATTAACTTATGCGTTTTCATTTTTCCTCTAGAACTAGACAGGACCAATTTTAAAAGATTCAATTTTCGTGTTACCTTTCATTTGAATGAGTTCCCTTCTCCGCCTAAGGTAAAGTAACACAGCGATGATGACTATAAGGGAGACAACTATTCCGAAGCAGAGAGGAATCATTATATACGTCTTCTCATAGAAACTGCTCTCTTCTTTCTTAGTGATAAACAATGGTGTGATGGTCCCTAAATAACACATCAACGATATGACAGTTCTGGGAAGACGCAAGTCAAGGTTTCATAGAATAAAACAGTTTTTCTTTATCTTTAAGCTAAATTCAAAATTACATTGCAACTGAATTCTAAATATTTTTCAAGGCAATATTTTTTTATCACATCTAAAGAGGACTACACACTGGAAAATAAACAATTTTATACATAGAAATTTACCTACATGTATATAGAATCAAAGATTCCTCTCACCCCTAAAGAAAAATATGCATAGGCTTTTCACAGGATCAGTACACCCGATATATCAATTAACTGTTAATTACTTCTTGTTAATGAACTTACTGCCATGATAAGTGAGTGTGGCAAACTTCAGCTCACTCTCTGTTGAACCAGCATCGCTGTGAGCAACGACCTTCATCACATACCAGGTCGCAGGGTGAAGGTCCTCTACTGTATGTATTGTCTGTATTAGAAAAAAGAAAACATACCTCTATCTAATAAATACATTTACATAAAAGTACACTGCATCAAAACTTGATTAACATCAACAGTGCACATCAACATTGCATTTCCTAACGTTTTTCTTCAAAATAATTGCCATATCAGCATTAATGGATAAAACAAGCGAGAATGAATTTTTAATAGTTAGAAAAATAAATGTTTTCAAATGTGGTACATGTAATTTTAATTTGATATACATTTTCTATTTGAAGGCCCCACCTTATTGCTTTGAACATTATTAGAGGCTTCTGTCCAGGAGGTATCCTCCCACACTTTATATTGGACAGAAAAGAAACGTATAGGGCACCCTGATGTGATCCATGTAGTGAGGTCAAGGTCAACTGAAGTCACATTTATGACCTTCAAAAGCATACTTTGTGGGGGCATAATTGGTGCTGAAAATAAATAGCAAACACATGTACAGATTGTAAACATTTTGATAAAGCACTTTTGACATTCAGCAACTCAGTTTTTATGCACAAATTTAGATACACAACATCCAAGTCGTTATGAATTGACAATAAATACGTAATTTTGGTTCGTGTTTAGACTTACTTGAGCCATTGGTTTTGACAGATATGGTATCACTGTTTGGGCTGTACCCCAGGCGATTCAGAGCATTGATGTAAAATTTGTATGTAGTACCACACAAAAGTCCTGTCACAGTCTGGGTGCGATTGGTAGGACCAGCGTCAATCTTTTGCCAAGTTTCATGATCTTTTTTGTGGTGTATTACAAAGCCTTGAAAAGCATTTAAAGGTTAAAGACATATTTTTTAATACTCTTCCTACAACCTCCCCTCACCCCATGTCAACAACAAAAATGTGAAGAACTATTATCTCTTGTCTCTCATATATAAAAGAAGAAATCATTTTTATTAATAAATAAACAAAATTTAAGTTCAATTTATACAGGAACAAAAAGAGCTAGAAATTCTGTGTAATTTTTACAGATATATAGTAAGATGATACGAAATGATTTCTAATGGGAGTTGTCTACCTTGGATTGGGCTGCCACCATTACTCCCTGATCTCCAATTGATTTGAATTGTAGATGTTGTCGTAGCAACGACATATAAACTGGGTGGTTTTGGTGGTGCTGTTCAAAACATAAAATAACATAAATTAGACATCTATATTATATAGTATATTTTTCTTGTTATAAATCATAAGTGGAAAAAACCCACAATATAATCTGAACTTATTGTTATAGCAAACATTCCTGCTAGAAATTATTATATTCAAAAGGATTTATCTTCATCTCAGTACCTACAGTTTTTTTTTTTCAAAACAAATATTTTTCATAAATAACTTATCTGGAATAAGTTTTCAGACTGAAAAAAAAACCTTTAGTTTTTGTGAAATTAAACATGAGAAAAAGATCCAAAATCTATAATAAAAAGCATTCAAACTTCATCATCATGCAGTCATGCAATGATACATGTATATCCATCATAAATGATACATGATACAATATAATCTTGAGCATATTACTATGAAAAATGCTTTTTATCTTAGAAAGTTTTAAGAAATCAACACTTATTCTTATCTTGTGCAAAAAAAAAAAATATTCTATGATATTGAAATATCTACATGTATTACGTTTTAAAAACACAACATCCAGTATGGAAAATTGTATGATACATGTATTTCAAAACTATGATTAAATATGATGATGTTAAGGAGCAGAGAATGGTTTGGAATAGCTAAGAAGGGGGGGGGGGTAATTTAGGAGAATTTGAATTTGATTAATTAGGAATAAATAATCAGGCAATATGATTCACAAACTAACATCGATATGGAATAAAAACAAGAAAACTTATCCTTGATTTACTCACTTGCTAATTTATCACTGACTGATCAAGTCAAAAGAAAAGAAAATCAATCAAAACTGTCATAAAAATGTGACAGCTAAAAATATCCATTCAAGCAAAATCTCATCATTAGTATGAAAATTTGAAGTTTTCTTTTTTCCTTTTTACCTTGAACACTAATCGCATAATTGACTTCATCTGAGCCATACTTGTTGGTGGCTCGACAGGAATAATTTGCTGCATCACTTCCCAGAACTCCATTGATATGCAAGGAGCCATTCTTGAGAATCTGAAGGCGCTCACTCTCAATAAATCTTCTACCTCTACAACACATAAATAACACATTAATGAAAAAATTGTATGCCTAAAAAATTAATATTTTTCTGATTTCTGATAAAAGATTGCTAATGCATTTATATTACAATGGACTCTCCGATTATTATGCTACATGCACATATGATAAAGAATTCAAATATTTTATTTCTATAGACTACTCATATCTGACTTAATCAGAACTTCTGTATTGTGTCACCTGATTTTCCATTGTATGCTTGGAGAAGGATCTCCCACCGCTAAACACTGTAAGGTTAAAGTGTGTTGCCATGGTATCAACATCACAGCTGAGAAACTGGCAATGCGAGCAGCAACTAATAAACAAATACATCTCATTACTCGATACTTGTTCTTATTAGTAAAGAGAATATAAAATTATGAGAAGACACTACCAAAAGTAAACCAAGCACAGAAATTTTTCTTGCTGATTTTATTCCTGCACTAAATTTATGAGGATGATTCATTATACTTTTCTATGATTTTTACCATACCTTTTTCTTGAGGAGCAGCACTGACACTATGAGTTCTCTCCCCTTCTCCGATGATTGTGTTAGCTGACACCTCGAATTGTATCTCTTCATTCAGGGAAAGATTACTCATGTAGTATGAAGTCTTAATGGGAGGTAACTCTACTTTCTCTATCATCTTTAAAAGAATTTAAAGTAGAAGATAAACAACTGATGGAAAACAATGAAAATCAAGAAACACACATCCTTAAAATACAAATGTTTAAAAGAGCAGAGAATTTACTCATGTCTAAGACAATAAGCAAGGAGACCTTATAGAAGAGTTTACAAGCTTTAACAAATCTGACCTCTGTAGAACTGCTATTGTAGACATAGACATTGTACTTGGTGAGAATTCCGTTGCTATGGAGTGGTGGTTTCCAGGACACCATTACTGTGCTGTTGTTGACAGGAAGAGCCTTTATGTCAGCTGGCCTCTCTGGAGCTGAAAAACCATGTATAATCTTAGATAGTCTTTGGGGCATTGCAATTTTTCATGATATAACTGGACATTCTCTCTATGTACAAAACATCACGAAAGTTTGCCAAACATAAATTCCAAAATTGTGCAATGCAGCAAAACCTTCACTTACTATAAGCAGTTATCATACTTTAGTGCCTTTCGTTTTGCTTCCTAATTTATGTAAATGCTAATACATGATGAAAACTAAAACACAACAGAAATCAGACTCAAGTGAGCAAATTCATAATTGCACTAATCAGTTGAAGAGGAATATTGCACTAAATATCAAGTGCGCTAATTTGTAAATTTACAGTACATCCTGCTGCTCCCTACCATCTTGCTGTGTCAGGACAAACAGTGGAGAACACCGCACACCCTCCCCCTTCCTGGTGAAGGCCAGCACCTGAAGGCTGTAGTTTGTGTATTTAGACAGACCCGTGATGGTGGCCTCCAGCTCTGAGGACACCACAGCATTGGCATCACTCTCATCTATAAGATCAAATAAATACTATCAGCAAGATCCATATTAAATATCACTGCATCCACAATAATTCATGTAGATACTCTTTCTTGAAATCATTATTGTATCACTTAATTTAAAATCATGAATAAGCACATATCTATAAACACTGTTATGTACCTCTAAACAATTGCAACAACTTCTGGTGAAGCATTTTGAAAAATACCAACTGCTTGTAGATGCAGATTTGTATATAAAGAAATATTCACCAAATGTACAAATGTGTACAAATTACCTTCATCAAAGCGTACAGGTTTGTAGTAGATCTTGTATCCTTGTAGGATGCCATGCAGAGTGAAGAGTGGGGGCGGGGACCACACAACCTTGATGCTGCGGGAATTAATGGCAGTGGCCTGTACTCCTTGTGGGGGCTGGCTAGGAACTGTAAAAGCAATCAATTACAATATCATGGATCATATTTTTAAAATCCAGATTAACAAGTGCTTTGAAATTATCACACAAAATTTTTTCTTTAAAAAGTTATTAGCACTGTTTGACATTCTCTGCCTTTAATAATTGTTTATGAAAGATCCCAGTCAAATAAGAAAATAAGATAATTTGTGAACTGACCATCCTCCAGTGTAAAGACCTGTGAGTCTGGGGATGGCGGGCCCCTTCCCTTCTGGTTATAGGCCTGAACATGGACTGTGTACTCTGTAAACTTCTCCAGATTATGAATATCTACAGAGGGCAGGAATTCACCATCGATGGATTTAGTAATGTAGATAAATCGTGATTGGCTGTCTCTCTCCTTGTATCCGATGTAATATCCCTGGATTTCACCGTTCTGATTTTCTGGCAGAGGAGGCTGTCATTGAGAAAAAATGACATTGAGATGGGTTATACACAGAACAGAATTTACACTGTTTTAAAGATGTTCATATTTCATTGTCCCTGGTAGGATGTACTCAAATCAAATCTTTAAATTCTGAATTACCATCCAAGATATCCTCAAGGACTCTGACCCTATAGCTTTGACCTTGACCTCTGTAGGAGGTCCAGATGGTTTTTCTTCATCTAACTTAACTAAGAGGCTCTTGCTGGCATTACCATAACCAATGGAATTGTTGGCCACAACTCTGACCTCATAGACATAAGCTGGATGTAGGTCAGAAATAGACGTAATCAGCTGTAAAGAACTCACAGTCACATTGGGAATTATGCCTTGCCACACAGCTGAAATGAGAACAATACACATGGTCACAATGAGGCTACTAAGAGGAGCAATTTGAATTTTTATGGCTCCAGTGAGATCTATTTGTGTCTAACCTTTTTGTACTTTGTACTGAACTGCATAGAAGAGAATGGGACTATTTCCATCATAAGGAGCCTGCCATTTGACTTTTATACTGCGGCTTGTCTGTTTGATCAAGGTCAGGTTCTTTGGGGGCTCTGGGGGTTCTACAATCAAATTATGTTCTGAACTAAGACAATACCATCACATTAAGTTCTGAAGAGACCAATTATCTGTTTTGACAACAATATTTCATAACATATAAGAAAAATTCTTACCCAGAACCACTAATCTCATGGCTAGGACTGCATTACCAAACTTGTTTTTGGCTGTACAGACGTAGAAGCCTGTGTCCCCCCTTTCTGCTGGTCTCAGGGTCAAAGTGGACAACTTCCCTCTTGATGTAACCACAGTGTTGACAATTCGCCTTCTACAAACAGAATTAAAGTTCTTAGAATTAGACAATGCTTTGTCTTGAGAACATTTAGGAAATAGTTCATACTTAATTAATACATACCGTATATACTGGCCTATAAGTCGTTTTTTTGGAAGTTAAACTTTGGTCCAAAACTCTTTATCAGACTTATATGCATATTATAAAAAGATTGGTATTTTAGCGGGTCAGTCCCTCTAATTTAAGCTTAAAAAATATAACCGACTTATAGGCAGACCGACTTATAGGCGAGTATATAAGGTATGTACATGTGCATTGAAAACTGAAAGCGTACTTCATAACCAATTCCTTAAATAACTCTTGTGATTTCTACTTGTGAGAATCTGCCCTTTCCCTCACCTGTCCATACCAGCGGTGCTGAGAGTTTGTGAGTTGAAGCTCCACGTTACAGACAATGGCTGATCTCCAATCGCCTGACAGTCCAGAGTTTTGTTCTGACCCTTTATCACTGTGTAGTTCTTTTCCTTTTCATCAAAACGAGCGGGAACTGAAAAATCAAACACAATTCAAGGTCACCTGCTTTGAAGTTTGTGTAAATAAAATACAAACTGTGAAATATATTCAACAATCCCAGTTGCCATATGAAAGAATACATGGATTTACTTAAGCTAGTAAGTTTTACACTGTATTGTAACAATTAATTCTCTGTTACTTCAAACAACACTTTAATGTAACTATATGTTAAGAAAATTTACATAACTATTCTGATTTTAAGAAATCTCCTTTAAATATACACTGTAATGTCAGCTAGAAGTAGACGTACTATGAACTCTTAGGAAGATAACCTTGCTGAGTCCTGGTCCCACGTCATTGTAGGAGTGACAGAGATAATACCCATGATCCTCTTCTCTTGCCCCTCGGATGATTAATGTCCCATTGCTGAGCAGTTGTTTAGAGGCTGTTGTAGCTGTGTCATTTTCTACATAGTTTATCATTCGATAGTGTCCTGGTCTGCTTCCTACAATAAAAGATACTAGTGCATTTGAACTTTGGTATCTCAAACACAGATATCTCTAACACCATTGATATGTCGAAGTGATTGGGAAGCCCTAACCACGTATATTTAAGTATTTTACCCTTGATATCTCAAACCCTTGGATATCTCCAAGTTTTTCTCGGTCCAATCAAGTTCGACATAACGAGGTTTGACTGTAATTCTTATGTATATTTTAACTGTGTTCAAAGAAAATCTATATCCTAAACTGTGCACAAAGAAAATCTAACACACAATAAAGTCAAAATGCAATTAAATGACAACAAAAGTACTTTTGTGCTTCCTTAAGTTTAAAAGCAGGCTGTGACTCTCATTTGAAACAAATCATATGATTATATCATAAAATTTTTAACATATAGAAGCAGATATCCTTGGGTTTACTGATTTTGGACTGACCACACACATGATCTACAACAACAAACCTAGAGCCTTTTTCCAGGTGATCATTGGTTCAGGTGTACCAGTGGTGAGACAGTCGAGGGATACGGAGTTCTTCAGAATCACAAAGGAATCCCCTGGCTCCATAACCCACCGAGGAGGTACTACAAAACGACAAGAAAAATAAAGAGAAGGAAGTGAAACCTTTCATATCTCTTGTACCCACTGATAGTGCAATGTGCTGTTGGTACCAAAAAAAAAAAAAAAACCATTGTTTCTATAATAGAGAGGTTAAGCATATGACCGTGCATGCCTACGTGTACATGTAGCTAGGGAAATCCCCTAATTTACTGTGATTTACTTCATCAGTTTTGCATAGCGCATAATTCTACAAGTTGTACACAACATGTAGATTCAAATGTACACATAGGAAAGAACGTGTAGCTTCTTTAACTCAAATTATAGAATATATACTTCTCAGGCGGTGTTTGTTGTGATGTTGAGCATTAATACGTTCATCTATGTATCTTTTTTCATCAAAGTCATAGAATTATTTGATACAAATGGATTGTAAAGTGACTTGTTGAAATAACGTTTTACATGTACCGCTACATGTACAGTTTGTTAAACAGAACTTGTACTTGTAAAAACACTTGTAGGTTTACACGCACACACAGACACACACTGTCAAATACTTAACCTCTCTAATAACTTACCATCCACATGTAGTGTAGCAGTGTAGTTTCCTATTCTGTCTCTATAATAACTTACCATCCACATGTAGTGTAGCAGTGTAGTTTACCATTGTGTCTCTATAATAACTTACCATTCACATGTAGTGTAGCAGTGTAGTTTACCATCGTGTTTCTATAATAACTTACCATCCACATGTAGTGTAGCAGTGTCGTTTACCATTGTGTCTCTATAACAACTTACCATCCACATGTAGTGTAGCAGTGTAGTTTACCATTGTGTCTCTATAACAACTTACCATCCAAATGTAGTGTAGCAGTGTAGTTTACCATTGTGTTTCTATAACAACTTACCATCCACATGTAGTGTAGCAGTGTAGTTTACCATTGTGTCTCTATAACAACTTACCATCCACATGTAGTGTAGCAGTGTAGTTTACCATTGTGTCTCTATAACAACTTACCATCCACATGAAGTGTAGCTGTGTAGTTAGTAGTAGCTGCTGCATTGCTGGCCCTACAGGTGTAGTTTCCATTATGTTTGGGGTTAGCATCTCCTATGGACAGCATGGTCATATAAGAATTCAGCTTCTGTACAAAATTAAAGAGTAGTCAGTCTGACAGTAAAATTTGATACATTAGATACTTTAAAAACAGTACATCATGAGTAAAGCAGGACCTTTTCTAGAAAAGTAATCTCTTTTCTTATTTATGACAGTAAACATCTATATTTTTCGCACTATTTTCTGATTACTGAGACACACTTTTGTCTACTGTAGATTACTTATTTTTAGAGAGTACTTATTATCACAAAATGGCTCTTAACGTCAAATCGTGAGAAAAATAATTTGCAAGTGGACAGTTTATCAAGTGATTTTGCATGGATTTTAGCACCATTTTGTCACAATAAAAATAAAATCGGGTAATTTTATTTCTCATGTGGTGTTTCTTGTGAAATTACGCAATAATGAATTCCTCGTGTACATTTAGGAATCTACAGTATTTATTAATACCATATAGAAACTGTACCTGTATGTGGATACCCATATCTGGAGGAATAATTTCTCCATCTTTGGTCCACACAATGTCCAGTGGCTGGTCACCAGTACTGACCACACAGGAAACAACTATTCTGTCTCCTTGTTTCTTTCTTGGAAATCTAAAAGGATCAATCATTGGGGGTTCTGAAAACAGAAAGTCAAAATATAAGAATAACACAGACTCTGGACATAAGATCGATCAGTAGGTATATAACTAAAGGCTATGTAATAATTCAATGACAACAAATAATATTGATGCAGATCCCAATTTTATGAAAAACCTGTGTATGCATTCAATGATAAAAATACATACAAAGCTATGTCACCTCTTATTCTATGCTTAACTTCATACAAATATAATTTAGTGTTAAATCCAGAACCTAAAAAGGGCATGGTAATCCAATAATCAAAAGGGCACTTTACGCCATGACAAGTTTTCATGAGGGCACTTTTTTAACGTCTTTGAAATTATAAATATTTTCTCTATCATGTTTATGTACTTAAATTATTATTTAATACTGAAATCTTTAGTTATACAAGTATCTAAAAGAAAAATTTATAAATCTGTCAGCTTAATTCATTTAATACACACTGAGAGGGCAATTATTGCCAAAATTGAAATTCAAATTTTTTAATCAAGAAATTAGTATGGTTATCAAGGTTATGCTTAAAAAGTAATAGGTGTGAACCTTTTTGTCACTTGCTCAAGAATT